TACATATATACTTATATATTTATATATAATGTAACAAATATTGGCAAATGAAATTAGGTATTTGTAAAATCATTTTTTTCCTGCAAATTGTATCAATATATAATAATCAATATATTTACATTTAAGAACAAATTAACGATAATAAAATTATCGTGCCGTCCCAACAAATTTGTGTTATTTATATTAATTTATCATTACATTTGCCAAAATATTCGATTCAGCTTATTCAAATAAAATCAACTAATAAAAACTCATACAAACCAATACTATAAAATATAGCACGAGGCAGATGGGAAAGGTATTTGCCATTATTTCTACTAAACATATTTCTTGCAAAGTGTATTGCACCATCTGAACAAAACTGAAATTCGATTACTAGTGAAGTTACACTATCTGGACCAAAAAAAATAGAAATATGCTCCAATGGAATTATAAAAGAAATAGTAATATACAAAAATGATATATAATACTTGTTTTTTCATAAATTAACATTAAATTATTCGGTATATATTGAAAAATGAAAAACACTAATTATACTAATAATCTATAGGCTTACTTGTGTACTCGTATTTGATGTTCGACTACTCTAGCTATCTTCTTATCTATTTCATTTTCTTTTTCCCATTTGTTCTGAACGAGGTTTTTCATCAAGCAGATCAAGATCTTCATCTGACCGTTAGCATGCTCCATGAAAGTTGCTATAAGGCAGTATGCACACGTCGGGATTGAAACCATAAGGATTCCCGCTATTGACTGAGATATAAACAGTATCTCATAAAGGGGACTAACTTGTGTGTCGATGAATAAATAATTAACTGGACAGGCCAATGGTCTAATCGTGACATTTTGATCGTTCACAATCTTTTTCTGAGATAATGGCATTATTATATGGTACATAAATGCGCCAGAGTACATAAGGCTTGCACAGATAAAAATCAGGAACCTTGCAGATTTCGCGCACTTGAACATAACATTACGCGCATCCATACTGAGGACATTTTTCCAATCTTCTTCAACATGCTTCCAACATTGTCTGATTCTACTATTGCGAAATAGAAGAACATCATATTGAAAGGAAGCCATGATAACGTATAGGAGAAGAGGACTCATCTGTAGTCGCACACGCACTGATTTTTCCAACAGCCAATAAATGCCACCGGGTATAAAATCGCAGGCCAAAAGAAAATTGGTGCTAAAGTTTAGAAAAAGATTGTAAATTTTTCGGAATAAGGATATTTCTTCGTTTTCGGATGGCCAGACGCCTATTGCGAGCATGAGATTACGGGTTGGTTGCATTACATATACAATATCATTCTGACTATATATGTTACGCGACATTTCTTTATAAACTCTGTCTAATGTTTGACGATACTCACTGACTTCATCTGTTACGCAACTTACACTTAACACGAAATCAGAACGCGAGCTGAATCGCAACTGATCATAGAAGCGCAATGCCGGCCGTGAAGTCAACTACATTGCTCCCATACGCTTGCGCGTTTAAAGAATTCAAACGTTGCGTGCGAGAGATCGGTAGCGCAATAAAGTCTATAAATGAAGTCGTAAATCCTAAGAGACGAGATTTTCTTCTGTGAAAACTCTTCTTAACCTTCCGATATGTGTCCGTCGACCTTTGAGGCAAATAAGAAAATCATAGTGTTTAACTTTGTCCTTTTCTGCTT